GCATATAAACCAAATGGATGGATATCTAGTACAAGCGAGTTGGGTATCCAGTACAAAACGAAATGGATATCAAGTACAAACAAGTAGGATATCCATTACAAACAAGTTTGATAGGTATACAAATCAAATGGGTGGATATCCAGTACAAACAAGTTGGATAACCAGTTCAAACTGGTTGGATAATCAGCATAAATACAATGGATAACTAATTTAAAATGAATTGGGTTATCCATTTTTCTAAACTAGATATCCATCTTATTCTGCCCATCGAAATTTAGTCATTTTTAAACTCGGAAAAAATATTCGACATGGATCTTGTTGGATAGATCTTGATGAATACAATAAAATTCATGTGTAATACGTTTTCTAATTTTTCACGGATTGAGAGATATGATCGTTTGAATATTAGAGATATTTTTTAGAAGAGAGAGAAAAAAGTGGCAGGGACTAAACTTGCAAATAATATGAAGATTATTAGAAAAAATAAAAAAAGTATAATAAGGACTAGTAGTGCAAAAAATAGGAGGGGGAGCATGGTGCTCCCGGGTATACTAGATACAGACTCGTAAATGTAATCATTCTTAACATGCAATTCTTTTATTCAAAAAGAAATCCCAACAACTAACACAATTTACAACTCTCTTTTTTTTTTCAACTCTTTTATTCATATTTAACATGAAACTAAGACATGATGAAGAAATAAATTTCTCAATTTAACTATTTTATGATTTCTTTTCACCTTCTCTCTTGGTTTTCTCCCTTTATGTATTTTTCCTTCTCTTGATTGCTAGTGCTGAAATTACACACTAAATAGAGGTGGTGACCGACTTTGCAGGAAGTGAGTTTTTCTTTTGGATATAAGAGGAATTGAAGTGAAGGAAAAACGGAAAAAAATGGAATACAGAATAACGAAAATGAGAACCAAAAGTAAATGTACCGTTCTGTCAATCAGCAGTTTACTGTTGTTTGTTTAATTTTTGTGGATGGATAATAGAAGCATCCTGAAAGTTAAATGAAAGCAGAGAGGAAACAGAGCCATGAACCATCTCATTTTTTATCCTTTGTTTTCTCAAATAAATTACACAATTAAATTTTTTTAAAAAAAAAACCTCAATTAATTACTAAAGCAATCGAAAAGGGGTGAGGGATGGCTGGGTTAGCAGATAGTTTTTGGTTTTTCTCATGGCCGGCGGTTTATTTATTCATTTACGTTAAATTAGTTTTTCTTTTGATTTTTTTTTTTTTCAGTTGGTTATCTTTATAGATTTATTAGTTTGAAGTCTCTTTTGGTCACCTTTCTTTTTAACTATTAAAATTTACCCTCAAGGGGTAATCTTTTAGTTAATTTAGTTTTATCTACAAATCTATAACCCCCATTATAACAATGGAAAAATTATTAGGTACAGCTGCTATATCATGGTTTTTAGTGCAGTAAGTACTAACATCTCCGATTTTGGTGGTATAACTCCTATAGAAATTATCTCTCTCCTCCCAAAATTACTACTTTACCCAATTATTGTGTCTGACTGCACAATCCTACGTGGTACAGCAGCTGCACTGAATAATAATAATAATAATAATAATAATAATAATAATAATAATAATAATAATAATAATAATCTCTTTTACCCTATTAAAACAGAAAACATGATGTTGATGTGGCAATTTTTTATAAAAATATTTTGGCTCCAAATGCACCATATTGCATAAACTATTCTGCCACGTGTCACCTCCTTTTAAAAACAAAAAAGATATTTATAATATTAACGAAGAGATCAGATGACCATGTTCATTCAAATTTTGAATTTAACAGTGAATGGAACTTTCCTTCTCCACTTATTTAGGACTTTCAAAAAAATTAATTTTTGGTCAATCAATTATTTTCATAAAAAACTAAATTCATTCCTAATCATTTTTTATTATTTACATATCAATTTATTAGGTGGAAGGACGTCCCCGGGCATTTGCCCGGGGCAAGCATCTAGTAATTTCTCTATAACAAAAACCACTTTTCTCCTAAAAATCCAAGTGTCATTATTTCCTTAAAAGTCTCTTCTCTAAATTTTCCCAAAAAAAGAACGCAAGAATTAAAAAATAAATAAAAAATCTGAATGACAGTTTTATAAACCATAAAGAACTCTTAAGGACAATTTGCGGTGGTCAAAAAATAAAAAATAAAAAATGCTCTATTCTTAAATGTACATCTAATTGCAGGAAAGTCTCCTCAACACAAAACGAAAATCAATATAAACAAAACAAAAATAAAAGACGGGTTATTCCAGCTTTCCTGAGTTAAACAACGATCTTTCCTTCCCATTTTTCTGAAACCAAGAATCTCAATGGCTACCCTCCTCCTCTCCTAAAGCCGAACAGAGTCACCTTCAATCCTCACATCATCGCCGAACAGAGTCACCTCCAATCCTCACATCGCCGACAACTTTTGTCTTTCCTAATCTATAAATTCCTCATGGTGCCTCAATCTAAATCCGAGTCACCAATGCTCGATTTAATACCGCATAATCCAAGCCACATAATAAATTTTTTTATTAATTATATTTGAAAATATAATTAACTAAATTTATAAAAAAATTTCATACTCGTGCGAATGCAAGGGTCAATAACCTAGTTTATAATTTTATATTAAAAAATTACCATTAAATAATTGAATGGTATGGTTGCGATATGTGGACTTGATTATCTAATATTTTACCACGTGAATTATCGTGTCTAATTTTATGTTATGTATCCAATTGAAAACTCTCTTTTAATATATACACTAGTGATTACCCCGCACGTTGTGCGAGTTGTTCAAAAATAACATTAATGATATAAAAATTTAAATTGTGTAGTTTTGAATGTCAATGTGTTTTATTATTATTAGTATATTTGGACTAATTTTCAATATTTGAAATCATCTAATGTAACTTATTTTCTATCTTTTTCGTATGGTTGAATTGTGGCTTTATATCTTTGAAAAGTATTATCTTAATTTTAATTATATCAAAAAAAGTATTATCTTAATTTTTCATACAACGTTACCTGAAATAATAAATATATAAATTTGTTAATAAATATAAAAGTATTTTTATATATTCACTATGTATTTGTCAATGAATGTCATTTTCCTTCTTTGACATTATCAAGTAAGTTTTTTAACCAAATTAAGAGGGAGATTGCTTTAATTTGCCATAATATATGGACAAATTAATAAAGCGTGAATGAGTGGATATATCCCAACGTTTACACAAATGTGTTAATTCATCCCAACATTTTAAAATTGATCAATTACGTCCTAAGCATAGTTATCAAATCGTGATACGTATCGTGTATCGGAAATTTAAATTTATAATATGCGTATCGTATCGTGTATCGTATCGTGTATCGTATCGTAAGATACGTTTTAATATAATAATATGTATAAAATAAATAATAAATATCATAAACTGCCTATATAATTGATATATTTATACTTTTTAATTTTTCAGTTATGAACAAATAAATTGATTAAGTTGAAATTTATTATTATTTGAAAGTTACACAAATTACTCGTTCATTACATGAAAAACAGTCGTAAAACCTATATAATAAATATTATTTTTCATAATAGTTTTTATTATAACCATAAATTTAATTGTGAGAAAATTAATATAAACATGAATTGCATTTATTCAACATGTTATTAGTTATACTTGATTCATAAAAGGATATTATGAAGAAAATAATGTTTTTAATTATTTTATTTTTTAAACTAGAGTAATTTATTAAGCGGTTTTATCGTCATTTAAGGAAGATTATGTTTGTAAAAGAAATAAATCAAATGTATCTATTTAAAACAAACTGTACATGAAATTTGCTCTTAATTTCAAATTTAAATGGTTATTGTGAAACAACAATTTGAATAAGAAAAAAATTATTTTTTGCCTATGTTTTTTGTATCATACGTATCGTGTATCGTATGTATCGTAAGATACATATCGATAATTAATAGATACACAAACGATTGCGATACATACAATGATACGTATCGAAATTCTTAATTTTGATAGGTATCGTACAATACGTATCGCGTATCGTGCGATACTTACTACAATGGTCCCAAGGTTATCGAAATTGAGCAGATACATCCCATGACCTGCAAAACATAAAAAATGACCTGATATAACAAGTAAAAATTTATTGGATCTCATATTTATTTTTTTTCTCTTTTTTTTTTTTAATTTTTTGGCCATTTTTTAGTTAATTAAAAAACAAACTAAATTTCTATATTAAAAAAACTCGAAAAAACTTACTTAATTAATCAAAATAATTTATGCATCACAAATGAAATAATTTATAATTTTGGATAAACTCAAAATTAATTAATTTTTGGATACACGATATGTATATATGTGTGTGTGTGTGAAAGCATAACCATTCTTTTTTCACTCAAAATGAAGAATTTTTTTTTGAAAGTTTCTTCAAATTTTATCGAAAAATTAAGATGAATCTGATTATTAAATACATTAAAAAAAATTAAAGTTTTTAATTTCTCCATTTATAAATGTTGTTTTTGTTTCAATAAACCAAAAAAAGTTTAAAAAATTCAAAAAAACAGAGATAAAAATGTTAAATATGGGATCCAAATGATTTTACCTGTTATACCAGGTCACTTTTGTTGATTTGCAGGTCATAAGATGGATCTGCTCAATTTTGATAACCTTGAGACGTCATTAACTAATTCTAAAACTTTGGGATGAATTCGCTAGTAAGATATAACGTTGGGATGTATGAACTAATATTTCTTATAAATAAAACAAATCCCCCGACCCTATCTGACTGGATTCGCCTCTTTTATTCTTTTTCTTTTCGATAAACGCTTCTATTCTATTGCCTCCGTTTCTCATAAAAACTGAAAACCCTAGCTTCCGAGTGGCTCTTCTAACCGATAACTCCACCTTCAGCGGTGGCGCCGTTTCTTCCTTATCTCGAGTTGTAATCCGCAATAAGAAAGAAGTAAAAGCATGGGAGCAGAAGGAATGTCCATGGACGACATAAGAGCCTCCGGTGAGCGGCTTGGTATAAACTTCTCGGAAGTCGATCTGGATGCAATCCGCCTACCTCCGGGCGAAGATTTCGGAATCATCAGGTTTGTTCGCCTCGACATTCGGATTCATTCGGCTTGTATTTTGAATGCTTGTAAGATTTTCATTCGCAGTTCTTAAAGCATGGATATTAGTTCATTATTTCAGAGCATGAGCAAAATCGGTAAATCAGCGTTCTTCGGTTTTTATTTTGGAAAGCTTTGTGTTTCTTGGTTATATTTTGATTTTGAGTATTGGTGTTTTTACTGTAGCGACGATGAGGATTTAAGGAATGAAGAGGAGATGGAATTTGAGGCCGGATTCGGCAACATAATAGTGGTGGACAATCTGCCTGTGGTTCCGAAAGATAAATTTGAGAAGCTAGTAGGAGTGATTCGGAAAATTTACAGTCAGATAGGGGTGATTAAAGAGGATGGTCTTTGGATGCCTGTTGACCCCGAAACTGAGAAAACTCTTGGATATTGCTTCATAGAGTATAATACACCTCAGGTAATGTGACTTCATTGGTCCGGCTGTATTCATAATCATCTGAATGCATCATGAATCATGATAAGTAGACTACTTGCGACTGAACCTTGTTTTTTGTCATTGTAGGAAGCTGAACTTGCAAAGGAGAAGACTAATGGCTACAAATTGGATAGATCACATATATTTGCTGTGAACTTGTTTGATGATATTGAAAAGTTCATGAAAGTTCCAGATGAGTGGGCTCCTCCAGAAATTAAACCTTACACCCCTGGGGTTGGATTCTTATCTATTTTATTCCTTTCTTCCTGAGATTGTGTATATATTTATTTTTTACAAATGGATGCGCTGTATTTGGTCTCAGGAAAACCTGCAACATTGGCTTACTGATGAGAAAGCCAGAGATCAATTTGTTATCCGTGCTAGCTCTGAGACAGAGGTTCTATGGAATGATGCCCGACATGCAAAGCCTGATCCTGTCTACAAACGTTCTGTGAGTACTTTAAATAGTTCTGTTGTTGTTTTGCTCATGGATCGATGCTTGTGGCTTTGTCCCTAGTTTTTAATATGATAATATGAATGGATTTTCATTGTTGATAATAATATTTCCCCCGTTTCTCATCAGAATTTTATGTTTTTAACGATGGTGTACTGTAAAAGTTCTGCTGTTTTTTTGCTCATGTTCCGATTCTTGTGGCATTGGCCCTTTGTTTTATATAATAACGTAATTTTCTTTTGTGGATTTGTCTTTGTTGACATTATTATTTCCTCTTTTCTCATCAGTCTGCTGTAACTTAAGGATTGTGGGTTTTCTTTTTCCTTTTCTTTTTCAGTTCTGGACAGAGAGTTTTGTGCAGTGGTCCCCTCTAGGGACTTATTTGGCCACACTTCATAGGCAGGGTGCTGCTGTTTGGGGTGGTGCTTCCGCCTTCAATCGTTTGATGCGCTATGCTCACCCACAAGTTGTATTCTGATTGTGGTCAATTTATTGATTTAGTTTTATTAGTTCTGCAGTATTTGACTTTAGGAAGTTAATTGCAGGTGCAACTGATCGACTTTTCTCCTGGTGAGAGGTTTTTGGTGACTTTCAGCCGCCAAGCATCAACCAATCCTCGCGATACTGATGTAATTTTTTTCATCGTGTTCAATCTCTTAGTTTAATTACTCATTGTTGTCCTTTAATTGTTGGGGTCAAATATGGATGGATCACCACTTGTTGAAGTTCGTTATGGAGAATTAAGTTTAGTACTTGATTACACAGGCAATGTTTATTGGAATTTTTGTGGAATTTAAGAATTAATGATTGAAGCAAATGACTAGTCTGCCCTGTTTTCGAGTGAGGGGCTACTTAATGTATTTGGCTTTTTCACAAAACTGGAAGTTCTAATTATTCTTTTTTTCCGCCTCAGAGGGTTGTACTTAATATCTTTGACGTCAGAACTGGGAAACTTATGAGGGATTTCAAAGGAAGTGCAGATGAATTTGGAGGAGTTGGGGGTGCTACTGGTGTACCCTGGCCTGTGTTCAGGTAACTTTTTCTAGTTGTGCAATTTAGTTGCTGATTCCATGTTTGCTAGGGAATATGCTTTCAAATTATGCGAAGATGAAAATCTCTTTTGCTTGTTCTTTTTTTTTTTAATGGAAATTTTTAATTCTGGTGAATGCTTTATTTTCAGGTGGAGTGGTGATAAGGAGGACAAGTACTTTGCTAGATTGGGGAAGAATGTTATCTCTGTGTATGAAACTGAGACATTTACCCTAATTGATAAGAAATCCATTAAGGTTGAAAATGTGATGGACTTCAGTTGGTCACCAACTGAGCCCAAGATTGCACTCTTTGTTCCTGAACTTGGTGGAGGAAATCAACCTGCAAAGGTGAGTTAAGAAGTAGTAGTGGCGCAAAGTTTATTTTGATGACTACTCGTATTTCAACTATTATAGTTTACTTTCATTTATAGGTAAGCCTCGTGGAAATCCCAAGCAAAGAGGAAAAGAGGCAGAAGAATCTGTTTAGCGTTAGTGACTGCCAAATGTATTGGCAGAGTAATGGTGACTATCTCGCCGTTAAGGTTGATCGTTACACAAAGACCAAGAAGAGTACATATACGGGATTTGAACTTTTCAGAATCCAAGAACGAGATATCCCCATCGAAGTGTTGGAGCTTGAAAATAAGAATGATAAGATAATTGCATTTGCTTGGGAGCCAAAGGGCCATAGGTTTGCTGTTATACATGGCGATAACCCTAGGCCTGATGTAAGTTTCTATTCAATGAAGACGGCTCAAAACACAGGTCGGGTTTCTAAATTGACGACGATCAAAAGCAGGCAGGCTAATTCTCTTTATTGGTCACCAACTGGTCGTTTTATTGTGTTGGCTGGGCTGAGGGGTATGAATGGGCAGTTAGAGTTCTACAATGTCGACGAGCTGGAAACCATGGCAACTACTGAGCATTTCATGGCAACTGATATCGAATGGGATCCTACTGGAAGGTAATATGGATTGATTGTGTAGCATTGAAGGGATTGAAGCTCGTTTTAATAATTAGTTTGTCTTCTAATAGTAGGTTCAGTATGCTGATTTTTCTAACCTTTTGTGCATAGGTATGTTGCAACCTCAAGTACATCTGTTCATCATGAGATGGAAAATGGTTTCAACATATGGTCATTTAATGGTAAATTACTGTATCGGGTTCTCAAGGATCACTTTCTCCAAGTAAGTACATGTTGCCTTGTTCATATTTCTACCTACTATTTCTCGGGCTTACACCTTAAAACTTATGAATGCTGATCACGTGTGTGTAGTTTTCTTGGCGTCCAAGGCCTCCGTCCCTTTTGAGTGCAGAGAAGGAAGAAGAGATATTGAAGAACCTGAAGAAGTACAGCAAGAAGTATGAGATAGAGGATATTGAAGTCACCAACACACTGTCTGAGCAGGAAAAGGAGAGGAGGAAGATTTTGAAGGAAGAGTGGGATAGATGGGTCAATGAGTGGAAACGAATTCAGGAAGAGGAAAAATTGGAGAGACAGAACCTGCGTGACGGGGAAGCAAGTGATGAAGAGGTAGAATATGAGGCCAAAGAAGTAGAAGTGGAGGAAGTTGTTGAGATTAAAGAAGAAGTTATTCTTTTTGACTAGGGAGTGTGAGATCAAAGTGTTATGATAAGTTCCAAATCGGCTCAAAGGCTTTTTCATAGAACTGGATGGGATTTTGAGAGATTTGCACCACCATAATCTTTGTGAACGCAACAAATGAATGTCGTTTGGAAATTTTTTAGCCATGTCTTTTTTATGTACTTTTAAGTCATGAAGGATAGTTTCTTTAAATCCAGGCACATTTTGCTTTCTTTTTTTTTTTTTTTTTTGAATGAAGCACATTTTGCTTTCTTCTTCTTACGGGACTAGGGGTTGCATACTTGTGTCTTTTTTAACGTTTTTTTTTTTTGGAAATAAAATGGCTGTATCATTAAGACCCATGTTGGATATAGCATATAAATATGGCATCTTGTAGTTCGGTAAAGGTACCAAGACGCATTTTGCAATAAACTTGAATGGCCGGCAGTCGAAGTTCTCTCAATTATTCCAAATTTTCAAATTGTACCACATTCAGCCAAACGAACACCAAAGTCATTATCGAGTTCATCTATAGATGGGAAGTGTTACACGAGCAAAACTTCAACCCGCCTGTGATTCAAAAAGGTTTTTTTTTTTTTTCTTTTTTCTTTCATAAACTCGCTCTAAATATTGTGAAAAGTCGCAGAAGGAACCTCCAACGGCTAAAACCTTGTAATACCGTCAACCTTTGGTGGCAATCTTTCAGACGCTCCCCGCCCCGCTTGGAATTTTATGGATGACTGAATATTGATATACGACTGAGTTGTTCTTTCTTTTTATTTTTTTGGTTGGCAATTGTAGATGTTGCAATTTCGGCAACAGTGGATGATTATATGAGATCATGGGGGTTCTTTAAGAGACGTTGAAAGGTTTGTAGAAGGGTCTGTGAGGTGGTTTCTGTCCTCGAAAGATGATTGTTTTGACTAGACTTTTAGGGCCCTCTGTAGAAAAAAGTTCGTTCATTATCGAGGATGGGGGGAGCGGATTGAAAAACAGGTAAAATTTAACCAGCTAATGTGGAACAGGTTAAATGCTGAAGCCAAGAAGGAACGATTGTCCAACAAACTGAAGAAGGTAAATGGTAAATGTATTGTTTTCTTGGTAATAATTTTTATCCTTAAATTTTGTTTCTTTCACTTAGTTTTACAATTTTTGGTTTAGCCATGGCAGAGGTCGAGAAGGAAAGTGAAATTTTGAAACAAATGGCTAGAGAAGAAGGCAGGCTCACACCTAGTCAGTGAAAAAATTTTCAATGGAGTTTCCTCCAAAAGTACACATGCTTTCAGATTGCTGGTTTCACTTTATTTAGAATGTTAATTCCGAGTGCGTTTTTTGCTAGGCGTAAAGGTTGTTATCACGAGAGATGTGAACAAAACACAATTCCCAAGTGCTATCCAAAAGATTTATAATCCCCCTAGTTTTTGGTTGCCTAAAGAGGTTTTGATTGAACCTTTTATTTTTCTTGATTGTTATTTACATTTTTACGAGGCAGAGCCAAATTCAGAAAAGGATAATAAATTACAAAACCAACATAAAAATCATAATTTTCATCTGGTTCGAGAACATTTCCTCAACGCTGATTTCAGATGTATGTCCTTCTGGGAAACACTCATTATGCCCGACTGTTGTTCCACCTTTTCAATGAGAAGCTTTAGCAGTGGTACTCTTGAAACAGTATGGAGTGACCCCACCATGATTAGCTTTTTCTGTTGAATACAAAGTCAAACAACATCAAGCAAGTCAATTACACCAATGGCTGAAGGTGCCCCTACTGTTCTACAATCTGACTTCCTCTGGTTTCATACAGGAGTGTGTACTAAAAATTCGATTATCATGCATGGTAAGGTCGGAAGAAATTAGAAATGTGTATGTGATCAGTCAGAAACTTTGGCTACATGGTAAATAAAGGAAGGAGAAGATGAGAAAACCTTAGCTCGTGTAACAGCAACATTGATCCTGTGCCAATCTCCAAGTAATGAAGAGCTATAATTCCCTGGATTTTCGCTGGATCGTACAAAAGAGAGTAACATGCAATCTTTGTCCCTTCCCTACAAGTATGGAGACAGATACAACAGTGTTTACAATACAATACTTCTCTCTGCCCAATTTCATGTGCTGCTACTTGATCTACTCTCTCTATGTATAACATGAAGGCAATACATTTGCAACTTCTGTTCGGCCTCGCAGAGAACCATGATTTTATATAGACATGGAAACGGAGACTAAACAGATATTTTGAATGGCCAAGACTAGTAGAGAATATCGATTCTTCCACATGTAAATATGGCTTCTCAAATTGAAACAATAATACTAGATGAAATAGACAAGCAGGAACAGATGACAAACAGACTAAACCTCTTATGGGAAGCCCAGAACATACACATCAATCCAGTCCCCAGAACGCCTAAGGTTAAGAGCTTCAGCAGTTATTATTTCTCATCACTTAGTCAACTTCTATGCCAGTTTCAGGAAAGTGGAATGAGGAATTTCTAATTTTTTTTTTTAGCTGAACTGTTGCTCAACTATACCTGGTATCTATCAATTGTATGAATCTCAACAGCTGCAGAAACAGATTGTCGAATAAGATTCGCCTGTGAGTTGTAGGGTGTAATGATGCCTATTTTTTCCCCTTCAATACCTCTACTCACCAAAGCTTCGATCACCTGTACCCAATTGCAACTATGAGAATGGTAGGATATGTGATGCTCGACTCAAAACACCGGTCCAGAGAAGGAAACATTATACCTCAGAGACAATAAAGGCTTCAACTGGATTGTTCACCATTTTATTGTCTATAAACTCATATGCTGGTAATAAATCTGAGCAGCTATATCAGTTAGTGTAATAGCATAGACTTTGTAGAGTACACCTTTTGGCGGGAAACATAGTAAATAATAAAATACACAGCTGATTGACGAACCTGTATTGATAAAGATCACTGGTCTCTCTGGATTCAAGGCCTGGCGACATCAATAGAAATCCAATTAGCCTATAGCAATTTGAACTGGTCCATTCCCAAGCAAAGAAAAAGGAAACTTTGAATGTTTACACACATCTAGCTTCTCAATACTCGATGGATGGAAGTGCAAATTAAATGATACATTCAATTACAGTGATGAAAAACTGAAGTTCAAAGAACCAAAATTGGAAAAGTAAGAAGTGAATAAGCAACTATTACAGAGAAAACTTGAGCAATATGGATACGTATCCACCAAATATGTTATGCTACTACTAAAAGTTCGAAGCAGGAAAAAAATTGTAAACCATGACAATCTTCCACCATCAGGGTAATGCAGTTGGACATTGACATTGATGAAGTGTTTCAATGTCAAACAAAAACAAACAAGTGAAGATACAAGCCAACTGAACCAGCAAATAAGACCTTTAAAAAAATTCAAAAATCACCAGTCGTATGCAAAAAAAAGTGATATGAATGCTTGTTCATTACCATCAAAAGGAGCTTAAAAAATTAATCTAGCGTCTAGTCCTTATCTGGAGCTCAACCTGATTAAATATACTAATATAGTACAGATTAAGGTAGAGAAATGAACCCCTAATTTCAAACACCATACTAGCCTCTGAAATTCCTTTATAATAAACTCTTCAAATTTTAAGCTTCAAGTTAATGTACCTTATTTATCCATTCTGGGGCTGATGCTGAATGTGTGTAAATGAGTTGTGCATTCTCGATTTCTTGGGAACCACAACGCAATCTATTGCCATATATCAAAGTATTCGACAATTCCATTATGGCAGCACACATGCGATACTGCAAGTGACGATGTATAAGCATAACTTACAAAGATGGTAGAAATCAAATTTCAGCGCAAAGTTTTTTTTTTTTTTGGATAAGTAGCGCAAAGTTGAATGTAACCTGGCTTTGCAAAGCTGAAATTGCCTGAGGATTTGCTTCTGAGAGCCTACAAAACAGGCTCACGGCTAGTCCGTTCTCTTTAGCCTCTGCACTCTAATATTCGAAGCACTGATAAGGAACTTCAAAGGAAGGCTACAGCAGAAAGGGTATGTGGGAATGAAAAATGCACCTGAACCAGTGGTGGTAACTGGTAATGATCCCCCACAAGAACAAATTTTGAAGCAAACATCAATGGTCCCAGTGACACCTGATATCAAATTCCACTGCATTAACTCATCTGATTTTATTCTAGAATATTACATGCAAATCTCTAGTTATTTAGATACACTTGAATATTATATGCAAATCTCTAGTTATTTAGAGACACTCTAAAAAATGGTGGATCGACCTTCTTTAAGAAAAAAATGCAACGGCAACACTGATGAAAGAAGTTGCCTTTCAGTTCTGCAAATGCCCTTTGAAAAACAATTAAGGACATCTGTGCATATCAATCCACCAGAAAAAACAGAAGACAATACAACCAAAATCAAACCCTTTAAAGTCCTACAATCTCTGATTTAAATTTCTCTACCATAGAATTTCTGAAGATTCTATACACATACAGAATCATCAAATTTAGATGAAATACCAAATCTTGAGATACCTTTAGCAGTGTAACCTTATGCTTTCATCACTATTTACCAAATTCAGTTCCAATTAGCAGGTTGATTAATCTGAAAAAAGGCATCAATATAACTAACTCATATGAATCTTGTACAGATTTTATTAGTTGCCAACTTCTAGAAAACCTTGCAGTTGCAGCAATTAGGCCTTCAACTCATTAAAAGTTATGCTCTGCCAGAAAAGAAATACGTGACAAGAGAACAACAAAGAGAAGTATGGGCTCTTAAACACATAAGGAGAAACTGGTGTCTAAAGAGAGAAAGATGAAGAGTTGCATTGTTCAAGAAAAATCAAATAATGCAAATTGTAGCTTCACTTTGCAGAAGTTATAAGTTAATATGGATATCAGAAGTCAACAAGTCTCCAATGCAAAAACATGCAAATTCGAGGAAGTGATGCCCTTCCACCGTGGGGCTTTCTAGGACGTACAATATCCTTTGGATAACAGTAGTTGGAGAGTGTCTTTCTTAGAGCAAACAAAACCAGTTTTTTCAATTTCAAAGTTAAGTTGGTTTCATTTACCTTTCAGATTTAGAATCTAAGAGCAACTACACTCAGTAAAGTTAGAATGCGTGATATGCAATAGCAACAAGAATGTGTTCAATAAGATCAGCTGTTCCATTTATAACCGTAATCATCAAACTAGAGAAGAGCCTATAACCAGCATTCTTTTTAGCATTTTAACTTTGTAAGGAGAAAGGGAAAAGATAGTCGATTACCCACCGGTAAGGTAGTCTGGCCAGCTTCATCAATGATACAGAAGTCAAATCTCTTGTGGGCAAGCAAAGGGCTATTTACACCTAGACAGGTAACACCAAAAACTCTGGTTTGCTCTAGCCTTTGTTTAACCTCTTTGGTGCTGCGTATGTCCATCTCTATGAAACGAAAGTGAAACTGAAAATTAAGACAAGGCTGTCAAACATATAGAATCTACTGACCATAGTTAAAGATCATACCAGCAAAGCAATTCCCTCGAATTTCTTCATGCACTGCTTCACTTCTTCCAATTCTGATAAAATCAACACCCTGCAGTAACTATCATATCAGCAATATGAAACCGAACACCACCTATTTATTCGAAGAATAGAAGTAAGAAGACTAACATCACTGATAAAAAAGGTTTCTATACTACTTAAGATTTACATTCTCGGTAGCCTCATAAAGGACCACGGAAAGAGTTTTAGCATCAAATCAAAACACGAATTGGCTAACGAAGCATTAAAAAACAATCTAAAGCAAAGAATATGACAATCACACCATTGATTTTTGTTATCCAAAGCCCAATGTTACTCATACATCATCTCAGAGTGTGAAGTGATGTACATTAGGCAGAGAGCTGGAGAAGTTATCTTTGCAAGTTACATTACTTTGATACTCATAATTGCGGGTAATTACATCATATAAGTTCTTCAGAAAAACAGCAGAGTGTTCATATTCAAAACCAATTTTAAATGAGTTCGAAACTTCCAGATCTGTTTGTCAATCGGATTCTGACCTGATCATAATATCAGACTACTTCTATCTTTGGGAGTTTTTGAAGTAAAGCTACATGTGAGGCACGAAGGCCCTTAACAACCCACCCATCCCCTCCAACCTTATTAGTCGGAAACTTTTTACAGATAGATGCCCAAAGTACATCACTTTTACGTAATGATTGACAACAGAACAAAACTCTCAGACAGAGAATGTTAGGTAATGTCCCAGACTTAAAAACAAATGTTGCACAGAACTTCAACATATGGTGGGAAACACAATCGCCAAAACATACTACAAGTACATGCACTGTGCTATTGTAATAGTCAAATCATAACATATATCAAGATTTGCAACCAAGGCATCTCCAATATAATCATCACTTAGCCAAGTGATAAAAAAATCATGATGCATACAGCAGCAACTACCTTTCTAAGAGCAATGAGGATAAAATGTAAGAGATCAAATAGATTTGGCTTAAAAAGTAAACATCTGGAGGCAGCATGTGGAATAGAGATGACCTGAGATTTCAACTTCATAAGTAAGTTATCAACAGCTGAGTTCGTGTAGGATGTGAGCAAAATTGATGCACCTCTCAATAGTAATGCTTTTACTGCATGAACCATGGTGGATGTTTTGCCAGTGCCAGGCATACCAAGGATAAGTGCATAATCTTTTGCTGTAAGTATCTGTCACAAGAAAACAAAAGTCAGAAAACTGCCAAATGTGATTCTCGTTTCAGTTATTCGTTCCCAGAATAAACTGGTTGCTGATTTAGCACAGGATACATGATCCCCTTTGCTTCCTGCTCGCAGAGATAAGAGCCGGAGTTGTCATAGCTATAGAAGACCAGGTAATTTACAATTTTACCTTCATAATGGCTCTGCGTTGATCATCATTTAAAGTTTTCTCTGATGCAACATAGGATATGGCTGGGTCCTGACTAAGCAGACAACCACCATCAAACCTTGGTGCCTGAAAAGAATGTACAAGGTGAAAATAGACTGAGAACTCCAGCAACCATTATTGCTGATAAGAAGGCAAGAGAATATCCAAAAAGGAATCATGAAGGTTTCATCAAAATGGAATTCAGTCAATTCACCTCAAGATTGATAATCATCTTCCTCAAACGACCACTCCCTTCATTTTGCAAGAACAATTGAACAAGATTGAACCTTTTGACATAATTAGGAAGTGCAGGTTATAAATCAACAATGCTTTTAAGGTTTATTGACATGGAAACAGACTAATTAGTATACTGATAGTACCTCATAATAGCAAATGAAGTCATAGATTCATCTTTGTCAATTCGCCAAGTTCGCAGACTAAGATCTTTCTCCACTAAAGGACTGGCACGAGGAATTCTCAAACGCTTTGAGAGAGACACCTGGCACAGAGAATAATGTTAAAACCATGTAGAGGTTTGAAAAACCTATTTGAAGCATTAGAATATGTAACTTTTTAATGATAGATATATACTAATGCTAAAAAAGAAGTAAATTATCACCAATATTTTGATTGCATAAAACTAATGATCATAATCAGAAATTAAAAGTAAAGGCCACAAGCTGATTCTAATGGCTGCACCGCAGTTATAGCACAAGAACTTACAGTAACATGAAAGCTACCGACATCTGTTACTGTACCATTAGCCACAGGCAAATAACCAGGTTCAGTGCTCAGCACCTAAAAGATGAAAGATGAAATAGAACTCAGTGTTAAAGATGAACAATAATCACTGGGAAAGTAATATATTGTAGTCATACTAGAAAATAATGGTGGACAAATACATAACTTTAAAAAGAGTTGAAAATTGTAAGAAAGAAGATGCAATTGGAACTTGAAGATTCACAAATTTGGCAAAGTCATGTATTATTACAGCATATGAAGTGTAACTGCTCCCACTAATACAAGTTGTTAATCGATAAATCGATTTATGAGGGTTGATTATCTACATCCTTATGGCAGCAGGAAAAGTCACGTTTATCTTTAACTTTTAGCGGTTAAGAAACATGATACTCGCAAATGAGATAAAATGACCCAAAATCAAGAAATGTTCTGCTTGAATCAACTACAATTTAGCCACAGATTATCAAAGACGGTTCAGAATTAAGTCACATTGAGTTTACAAACTCGCTTACTGGAATAGCTACCATAACACAGCTTACAAAGGAGTATTGCTATAACCATGTATAGCAATTTCCATGGAATTTTAATGAGTAGCGAAATGTTCATGTCAAAAGATAACTGAATTGATTATGTCACTCTTCTTTCTGCCAAAAGTAGGACCGAGTGGAGGTCTTAGATAGATAGCAAAGAAGCTTTGACATTTGATTCCAGAAGAGACAGTGACGTCATAGCAAGTTGCAAAAAAATAAAATATAGCATTAGAGGTTAATACCACATAATCTCCACTCCGAATTGTGGAGCCAAAATTTATTCCAGAAGGAGAGTTTTGTTGTTCACTGCCAATTGATGGAAAATTTTGATGCACAAAACGATAAATAAATCGGCTGCCCTTGGAGAGATTCTTTTGAGAAATGTCATCTGTGTTGTCAAGAATAAGGGAGTATAGACATCCAGAATAATCGCCATTCCTTAGAAGATGCGAAATCCACATCTCTTTCTTTGCAGCCTAATGTAGAAAAGAAGTAACTAAAAAAGTGAGCTTTTCAGTAATAAGGTTCAATTTTCAAAGCTACAAAAGCATTTCAGATATCAGACCTCCATTTCTTTAGCCTCCAAATCAATCAATCGATGCCATTTCCGAAGAAAAAGGATGTCTTCGTCGGTTAAATGATGTACAAGTGAATCAAAGAGATCACCTAATCCACTGCTCTCTCTGGATCCTCCATATGCCTTCAACATAAATTTGAGAGAATGTAAATTTCATGAAAGATGGAGAAGATAAACATACTTATAAATTACATTTTAACAAGAAACCAATTTAAAAGTCAAGGACATCACTAAAGCAAGTAATTTCTGACTCAATACAGAGTTATTTACTAGACTCCATGAATGTCAATAAAACAGTATCCAATCATGGGTAAGAAGTATCTTCTTCAGGTATTACTTGCATGAAAGAGGAGCAATGAGGATTTCCTTTATCAGTGACAAAAAGCATAAATACAAATCACAACAACAAAGCAGCTTATACAAATTTTATAATTTCTCAGTAACAGTGTATAAAACTCAGTAAATTCTTGACAACTTCATATTGATCTGTTTGTATTTTTGTTGGGATAACTGACTCAAAATGAAAGTCGATTCTGTACAGAATCATGATAGTGTTGAACATTAACTTTTAGCAAAACATTGGAATTGTCTGAAAGCAATAGGAAAAAGAGTTTGATTCCTCCAGAGCAACAATGAAAAGAGTTTAGCAAATGTAATTCATAAAGAATGAACCATAGCCACCCTCCACAATAAATGAACTTAAAATATTCACTTATAGAAACTCAAAAGGTAATGCTACAGACTGAATGCACACAACTACAAACCTCATTAAGATCAAAAGCACAATTAAAACACTGTATCAACTATTACTATAATTCTTAAAGCTCAATTGGAGCTGAGAACAACACAATTGTAATACAGACAATTAGATGATAGTCTCACATTGTTTGTGTAAATTACTGCTATTAGGAAAAGCTCAAATCGCATATCCAGGCACAATGAATAACTATAAATTGTGCGCTAGTAAGGAAAAATTCTCACTAGAACAGATTCTACTAAATATATCCTAGGAATTGATGGTTGACACATTACAGCTGCATATACCTACCAAAAAATTGAATGACACTGAAAGAAAACAAGGCTGTTACAACAAAAGCCTCTTGAATTTTATTAAATCAATCAGTTATTGATGAACGTTTTGTGCACAGAACAATAAAGGTAAATCATGTTCTTGTCTTTTACTCTCATGCATTCTACATTATCGAACGACACACATGGACATAGGAAAATGACTTGTTACCTTATGATAGATGTTACAGACATCAAGGTGGCGACAACCTTTGCATACATTCATGCTCTACAAAACAAATGCGGGGAATGTCTTTAAGTCAGAAAGTGGAAAGCATGACATATCATGATGATCAACAAGTCGGTGAACACAAAACCTGTTGCATTGGTGGTAGTTGTTGAGTAGTTAATGCCCTGAGAAGATCACTTGCAAATTCATTTCGACGTATGATGAGTCCCACTAAATCATGTCTTTGCACAGTGACCCCCTTAAGATAAATGCGCCACAAGTTAGATAAAAAATTATGGTAAACTGAAAGAAAGATGTTCACCATGCACTGAAACTTTACCAGAGTCTGATCCGTGTGAAGATAGTACAGCAAACCTTGATCAACATCTTTCAGGTATCTGGAGGGGAAAGTAGTAAGTGAGGTAATGATTTACCAAAGAAAAAGATGCAAAAGAAAGCCTTGAGATTATATCATAAAGTCCGAGTAAATTTGGTAGGAGAAATCTCAAGGTAGAAGAAGCATAGACAGACCTCTCTGACATCAGGAGAGTATATAACATGACTTGGGCTCTATGCTCTGTAGCTGCCTGCCAAAAAAAAAAAAAAAGATCATTGTCAAAGCACCAGAAACACATTGGCAATAATTAGGCCGACAACATTGGTCCTTCAAATGGATAAAGCTATCTCATTATACTTGCCTGACCACTCGTCCCTTTACCAGTTTTAAACTCCATAGGCATAACCTTCATGGCATTCTCAGCATTGTCAACTTTTATCCACATAGACGCATCAATCATCCCCTTCAAACCATATCTAGGAGCCCATGCCATTTCCTCAATGTCAAGTACCTAGGTTTCGCAACGGTAACCTTGTTATAAAAAAATATCGGTTCTCACAATCATGAAATTGCTCGGATTTATAAGGCAATTGCAAGAGCAAACGTTCATGTGAAGATCAAATTGTAAAAATACAACTTTTGTCGATAATTCTGAAGCATAACCATAAATTTTAGGTACTCCAAGTCATCAAATACATGCAGCTTTGGCATGAAAAGGTTATATGTAAATGTGTTCAACTACCACTTTCATACAGTCCATATTCTTCCACTACGGGAAATGAAAATTTTTCAAACACAGCAACCTAATACCAACATAGAGGAAAAGTTTAAGAGGAGTGCCTCACCTCCGATACGCTGACTTTTTTTGCTCCATTGTGGCAGCCAAAATCCACAGTCTGAGAACCAGAGCCCTAAATAGAAATTTTAAAACAAAAACAAACAATGAGGAGATATGGACTGATAGATAAAGTATGAATACATTAGCATGTAAAACCCCAGAACATCTAACTTCATGTGTTTAAATACGTTATAGTAATATCAATATAATAACTCTTAATAACAGATTCCAGATCTTCCATATAAAGCAGTTCATTTATCTTTGAAACAACAGGATGAGAATTCGCATTAGGTGAATTTTGTTTTCAATTGATATTCCATAATACTTGATATACTGAAATCTGAGCATGATAACAATCTGCTTTCATGCACTGGTAAGTTAAAATAGATTCAAGTTGGGTATTTTACTTTGAATTGGTTTCAGAAAGAGAAAGTGATACACACCAACAGGACAAGGATCCCAAAAAAAGAATCTCTTTGAATCACCTGTGAATCTTGAAATAAGGATATCCACTTCAACAATTTTGGGATTGCTTCAACCAAAATCTTATACGTTTCATCTTCACTCACTGCAATTAAAAGCAAATTCAGGGTCTCAAAGATGTGATAAAGGAGATTGAAACTTTGAAAGCGCTGTTTGTCATCATATTTCTTTTACAAATATTGGGTCAAGTTTTTGGTTTTTGTTTATTTGTATTCTTTATTTCTGGAAACAATTTTAGGTTTGTTGACACAGCAACAGTTCAAATTAGATCACAACACCACCAAAATCATAGTCCTGGTTAACCAGGGAAAAGAAGAAAACATACATCAGGGTCCGTAATACAAGTGCCCACCTTCACATGCATACAAGGTCTCAAGATTTTTATGTACCACAGTCCTTGAGTATTCCTCCAGGAATCCTATTGAGAGGGAGTCACTGATCAGTCCAGCCTATATAATTTGAATCATTATGGTATCAGTAAAATTCACACTTGTTTCCAGGAAAACAAAATACGGATATTTTGCAAACATATCGAATCTCTAACCTGAAATATCTGGTGCAGCAAGGTACCAATCAATGCTGCAGTTGAATACTCGTTGCATTTTAGTCTTTCATCTAATAAAGTACGCCTTGAACAACTGAAACTAGAAGCAACCTAGTGGAAGGAATAAGATCAATTAGAGAAAACTGGTGGCATTTAGGGATAGTCGCTTGAAAAGATGTAATGCAGTACGTCTGTCATGCTACAAATGAGATTAATGCTTATGAGCGAAGAAAGGAGGAGAAAAGGATATGATACCCTAGTTCCAGACACCAAGATATCAGGGTGAACAATCAGAAAGTTTTTCTCACGACTTATGTCACACTTCCCCTCGCTATCAAATTCACCAATGACGTGAACGGTGTCTCCAGGTGCAACAACACTGTAAAACCTACAATAAGAATTACCAACCCAATGATTCAACAATGCAATGTTTCCTCCAGGAACACACTAAATTAAACATGAATGGGGAGAAGGAGTTTTGCCATCCTAGTTCTCAAGTTCACAATCCAATACAATAAGAGCAACAAATTATTCTTTATACTGAAAAAAAAAATGTTCTTGTATATGAGCTGTATCATACACTTCTATAGAGGTAACACTGCAATCGAATACTACACATTTGAAACCCGAAGATGGCATCTCAGACTCATTCACACTAGATCAAGAGAAAAATCAAGTTTGACTCATATGTTAACAGAACACTTCACCTCGAAAGCTCTAACTATTAAAAAGATTAAAAATTTTGAAAACAGAAGATAATTCTGCTTCAGTGCAAATGCGCAATAAGAAGTGGTTTATTTTCTAAAACTGGTCATAAATGAATGAGTTGCATCTATATCAGCTGCATGTAAGATACACTATAACAACTATTAAATTATATTCTCTCATAAAACCAAAATGCCAGTAATACTCAGCAAATGCCATAAAAACTCTTCACAGCCGTGAAGACAACATTGAGACAAAAATGTATCAGCCTTCAAAGCTAAAGATCAGAGTCTTCAGCTCCATCTGTCGTGATGGGACATAAGTCCTGATGGAAACCAAAAGTATGGTACTAATCAAACAGGTGGTCTTTTAAATCGTCTGAACTTTTTAGCTTAGCCTAATCATAAACAAAAGATTACGGATTTGCTAACCATTCATCCCACAGCTGTACTACCCGCTCTTCTTCACTTTGCTCGTTCAGTAAGCGCATCATCTGATAGCCAAAGACTAAAAATTATTATCAACGAATTTTAAAGTTCCCAAGAAATTTTCACGTTAAGCAGATTATCAACCTTAAATGAGTGCAGTGAACCTGGATGAATGACATCTACGTGCTTCTCGTAAACCTGAAACAGCAATAGAGAGAAGCAGACAACTTACTAAGTGCCCATCAACTTTCACCTTCCCAACATTAAAGACCAATGGAAAAAGTTTATGTGTACCTCTAGGACGAGAAAATAGTGATTGGAACCTTTACTTTCAACTGATGCCATAGTATTCATATTAGATTGCATCAAGACAGTGTTAGGCTTGTTACATTTGCCAGAAGAACCAAAAGGCACCGATTCTTCACAGGCTGATTCTTCAACAGAAATTACATCTTCTACTTGATCCAGCAGTTCGATTAATGCCTACATATATATTAATGACACCAAAAAAAATGAGCTGGCATAAAAACCAACTTGAAATACAGATGATCCTTCCATTAATTGTTGAGACTTAAGGCTCAACAAAGAAGCATGTATAGAATGCTTGCTGCAGAATGTCAAATGAAAAGTAGCATCATCAAACCTTTTTATGCGGCCTTGAAACAAGCTGATCAGATGTTCCTTGAACCACCACTCCATCAGGAGGCTGCATTTCATTTTTTACATCAACAATCAGTTAAATAATTTGTATGAAGTTCAAGCCTAATTGCATAATGAAAAAGCAGTACCTTCTCATGGTTATAAGACATGGATGGGGGGGTCTGAAAAGGACTCTGACTACATATCTCTCCAGAAGAGTTCCTCCCATTACTATTTTCAGTCTTCTCAAGATCAGGGGCAATGAAGCCTGGGTTGTGCTTCCTCAAACTAAACCCATCTGGACATGACAAATGATTTTTAGCACATTTGAGAGGAGGTGATGAGAGCCACTTTTCAAGTTTTCCTTCTGCACCAGGAGACGTCTGTACAAACTGAAAATGAGAGGTTCAGCCTTCGTCTCAAAGAAATGACACACAGGCACACTGGAGAGAAAAATATTTGGTAGACCTTTTCTGTGGAGCATTGCTGAAAACCCAAACAGTTAAACCTCGTAGAATCGTTCAAAACCTTGACCACCTCCGGGAATTTCTTTGAAATGGAATGCAGCCGTTCATTTATGGGAGAAATTTTCCACGTAACTTCATCTCCTCCATCATCTTGGCTTTGCTTTATAAGCTATCAAAACAATGTTGAAGTGATTACAACATAGACCACCAAAAATTAGATCCTAGTTTGCTTTTTAAATTTTATTATGACAAGAGTATTGCTCTTTCATCCTGAGGGGAAAAAAACGCCTTCATGTCTCTATTGATTGCACAAACTACATGCTTGCTCCCCTGAATTTTGAGGGATACAGTCAGCATGTTATTAAACAAAAAAGCTGACTTCAATCCTAAATTCAATTGTATTTCTATATGGTCCACTGCCATTTTTCCATCCACAAGAAGTGAAGTTGGTAGTCCATCTTTTGCTTTCTCTGCCCATTCAATGTTTGGAACTGAACAAAGCTTTCTCACCGACTTTGTTCCATTTTTTATGGGAGATGATTTGTACAACCACAATCCACAAAATTCGACTTCGAAGGTGAGAGATTCGTACCTACTATCTTGGAAAGTTCTACTCTACACTAACTTGAACCCAACCTCATAATTTCCAAGTGAGGAATAGAAGAAGACAAAAATTGATACATTATCCATTCGCAAAACCAACTTTTGGATTTACATATAAAATCACAAAACTTCTTTACATAACTGACCACATGGATTTCAACATTCGGACCAAATAAGTCATGGCTCATGGACTAGGAAGACATGGTAAAACATGCAATAAAACAACCAAATGCACCTTAAATGTGTTAAGAAACTAGCACTCTAAGTCAATGGGAAGCCAAGCGCATCTCTTAGTTCCGTCCAGTAAAAAGTCTTTACTTGCAGAGTTTATTAAAATCATTTCTTTTCTGCTTATTGCCCCTCATTTCAGATGTACACACTCCAATAAATCTTCAGTGAAGTCTAACTGTAAAACTTGCGTGAATGAAATGGGGAAAAAATGAAGTTTAAAGGTTCAAAAAAGGTTACCATTCCAGGAGAAAACTTAAATCTTTTCGGGGGCTTGCCCTTAGATAACTCCGGTGACACCTCCTGAACCTCTTCGTGGGGATCCTCATCCGCATCAATCACAACTGAAAGACGATTCTCCGTCGGTGTAATCTCCGATGCATTACTGAACTCATTTCCTTCCTTATGCCGCTCGTCAACAACATCAATCCTAGGTTTTTGACAGCTCAAACCTTGATTTTCCTTCCCGGTACCTCGCGAACCAGATCCTCTCCCGAACCTCTGAGGCACAGCCCCTGACGAATTCGAACAAGTTGACCCGTCGTTGACCTCCCTAACTTTAGCGGCAATTTGTGGGTTTAGAGTGGCGGCGGCGGCGGCGGAGACTGGAGAATTGGAATCGGGATTGGACACAGGCTTCTTCGGCTTCTGAGATTGGTTTTGCGAGTGGCGGTCAAAGAAATGCTGGATTCCGAATTTGGATGGCTGGGATTGCCGCTGATTGTGATTGGTCTGAGTCGCACTGGAAGAATTCGAAGCTTTCTTGGGAGCTCCGTTGGTTTTCTTCCGGGGTGCCATTTCTTCCCAAAACCTCTCACAATGTCCCCCTTTCGGTGTGTGACTCTGTGCACGTCGGAGCAGCCGGTACTGTGTGAGTGTGTGTTGATTTTCCCGCCAAAAGGGAGAAAATTGGGGGTGGAATGTGGGTGTTTTAAGGATACTCTGTGAATTCAGGCTAATTTTTGGAGGGAGAGAAGTTGGGGCGTCGGATTAGATCATGATGGACGGTTCAGATTGCCTAAACTTTGACCCGTGTTTGGTTATATTCGTGTCATATGAAAAAATGGGAAAGAAAATTTGAAATTAGTCCTCAACTTTTTCTTTTTTTTTTTGAAGAGGATCAATTGTGGTTCCTCACTTATTCCCAGTGTAAGTCGAATCCGTGATCTATTGGTCAAAGGTGAAATGTCTTACAACTAGACTGCACCTCGTTGTCACGAAATTAGTCCTCATCTTTCAACCCAACTTCAACTTCATCTTAATGTATTAAAAAATCGTCAATTTAGTCAATGTCATCCTTCTGTCATCCAATGAGTAAATTCTGGCCTTGATTTGGTCAAAAGATCATCGAAAAATTTATTTTGTTATTGTTAACTTCATGACTAAATTGGTACTTAATTAATTGTTTAAATTTTTAATTCTTTTAATTAATTAACTTAATTTTCTACAAAGTTAATTAGTCATGCTCGACAAATTTAAATTTTTCATTAGTTTAAATAATGTTCTACTTGTTCAGTTTACTTAACTTAGAACTAGATGTTTGGCCCGGACGGATGCCTGGACGATCTCTTGAAAATAATATTTATAATAACTTAGATTATGCATTCTCTATGTTAATCGGTCAGAGTAATCCCTTTTACCCTATTAAAGCAGAAAACAGGATGCTGATGTGCCAATTTCTTATTAAAATGTTTTGGCTCCAAATGCACCATATTGCATAAACCATTCTGCCACGTGTCACCCCTTTTTAAAAACAAAAAATATATTTACAATATTAACAAAAAATATATTTACAATATTAACGAAGAGATCAGATGCCCATGTTCATTCAAATTTTGAATTTGACAGTGAATGAAACTTTCCTTCTCCACTTATTTAGGACTTTAAAAAAAATTAATTTTCGGTCAATCAATTATCTTCATCAAAAACTAAATTCATTACTAATTAGTTTTGATTATTTACATATCAATTTATTAGGTGGGAGGACGCCCCGGGCATTTTTCGGGGCAAGCATCTAGTTAAAAAGTATAAGAAGGATCAACAATTCAACAGAGATGTTGTGATTGTCAAAAGATTGCGTCAATTTGACCAACCGGTTACCATACAGCAAAAGTTGAAAGCCTAATTCATACAACTCAAAAAGGTAAAAAAACTTGATTTGATGCACAATTGCCCAAAGTAACCATTCAACTACTCGTAAGCTAACTATGCTTACTAGCCGTAGTAAAATTGTTCAAGGGCTAATTTATTATCCACATTGGAGTAGTTCCATCCATCCTTAATCCAATCATGATTTATGGAATTTATGAAAACGCCAAAGAGTATCATACTGATTTGGAGCCGGCAAGTGTGAGAAGGATGTGAAGCTTCCTCTTCACGGCTATTTTTCTTTACTGGCTCGAAAATTTTGATGCCACCATTCAAATGCCTCGCATCCCACGGGATGTTTTTCTCAATCAACTGAACCTGTTGAAGGAAATGGATCAGAAGATGCTTAGCCTCTTATAATGGCCGAGTCATCAATTTGTTTTTAGAAGGAAAAAAACATGACTATGAATAACATTGAGAGCTATTCACATAATTCATTATAAAATTGTTAAAATGCCTGACTGCAAACAAAGAAGTAACCACATGAAAAAATGAAGAACACCAAAATACATCTAGAATACCAAAATACATATGAACTGCCCATGAGCAAAAGTTTGGGATTCACCGAATTTCAAATCGCTGAGATCTGAAATGAAGAACACCAAAATACATCTAGAATTTGCTTGTTGTTGTTGAAAACCCAAAAAATAAAAAATAAAAATGAAACGAAATAATAAAGATACCTGAAGTTACCGCCGGTCGGAACAAATTCACTGGGGTGCTTTGAAATGTTTCTTCTCTTCACCAGCATCAGATAGATATGAAGTGTCTGAATTTTATTCCTCATGGATTTCGACTGAACAAAATCAGGAGACGAAGAGAGAATTATCCTTACAGAACAGATCTGATCCGCTGTTTAAACTTGAACGGAATACGTTAGACAGGGACACTTATCGATTCCCAAAATTCCTGCCCTCTGAAATCGCTCAAATGGAAGAGATTCTTTGAGACGCCAACCAGAAGGTGGATTTATTTTCTGGTGATTGGCAGCGTAAAATGATGAATGAAGATAGAGGATTTCTTTTGAATTGAAATATTTCACGTTGGTACCCTAAATTTGAGGGGCTTCATCTCCGAAATAGCATTATATTAGGAAGGGGATTTTGAGCATGAAAATAGGAGCATGATTTGCGTGTTTTCATCAGGGAATTATTATTATTATTATTATTTTTGTAAAAGGGAATTATCTCTGGTATTGCTCAATGTAATTGTAAATGTAATATATTTAGGTCTTTTTACGCACTGTTTTCATGTTCATAGGTAGAGCTACGTGGCAAAAATCATTTTGCACTAAAATTGATCTTTGGCGGAAAAATATTTAACGTGAAGGCGACACATGTCCTTCTTGTATGTTACTTTAATTAAGTACTATGGATTGGTACCTATTGCAAAAGGATACAAGTATAAAAGGAAAGTGAGAACTCACGAAACGCAAGCAGTAAGATAATTAAATTTGCCGTGCATTTGTTTTCTTAAGTTACACATAATGAAATGCGGACATTAATCAGTTTTAGTACTACACTAGAACGTTGGTAAATTAATAATTTATAAATTAATATCTTTCAGCAATTAATAATTTTCTCCGGTTCTAATTTGGGACCAGTACAAAGACTAGAAAAAATCGATAAAATGATAAGATAATAATGTTTAAGAAAATCTCATATATTTCTATAGGTCTCAAGTAAATTAATAATACCATAAATATAAGAAAATAATTATAATAATTATAAATATTTAGTAAAATGTGAACTATTGATACTTGTCTTTTAGTCCGTAAAGATGATTTGAACGATGTATAAATTTTTAGTATTTAGAAAAATTTTAATACTTGATTGATTTGTACGTAAAGGTATATGGCATTGAATAATCTAACGAGGGTTCTTTTTTCTCATATAAATTTTTTTAATTAATAATTTATTAATTTATAGATTATTTAATAATTCTCTAAATTAATAAATTTTGGTGGTCTCAACCCTATTAATTTATTACAGGAGTTCTGTTGTAGATGTGTAAATGACGATGATGTGATTCTGGAGGTTGATGAAGAAATAAGCACAAAAACTTGTTATCGTCATATTCCGCTTATAATGCCTAAAAAATGGGGCTACCATTATCCATGTCTCTGTTATATCGATTCTTTGAGTACCAATTTCAAGCCCTTCAAAAATGCTTAGAAGGAAACTCCTAAAAAGAAAAAGCAATTGCAAAAGTTTGAAAGTTGAATAATTTTTTATTTTTCATACTAGTTCTATGAAGAAAAAAAACTACTTTAAACAAGTACAAAATTAAGAAATTAATTAAACTAATAAAAAGTTAAATTAATTAATTAAAAAAAATAAATTGATTAAGTAGGTGTCATATTAGTCCTGAGGTTTTAAAATTATAAAATACTTTTTTTTGACGATTTTAAAAATTAAGTCAATGGCTGAAATATACTAATTAGATGACGTAAGGATGAAATTGACCTAATTATGATAGTACATTGGATGAAACTAACACTCTCATAGAAAGTGAATAAACTAATTAGACACTTTTTCCTTAGAAAATGTTTAGGCTCTGTTTGTTTGCTTTTTTTGATAGTTTTTTTAGTATATTTTATTTATAACTGTCCTATTTCAGCATACCCTTTTACATTTCCAACACATCTTTTTACATTCCTAATACAAAAAACACCTAAAAACACACTTTTAAAAAACGAACCAAACATACCTTTAGTGTTCATTTAGTCTCGCAAAATCATCCGATACAAAATTATTAGCCCAATTAGACTTGGGCCGTTTCATGTTTATATGGATCCGTGATTGGAGGATGTGTTGAATCATTGTTCTTTTTTCATCTTCTTTTTCTTCTCAATGATAGTGTCCTCAATCAATCTAAAAGTTACTCCTACAATAATTTTTTAATTAAATGAAAAATATGATTCAATCATTTGAATTTTGAAGTTTTGATTCAAAGGGAATCGCCTGCTATTTTTGGTCATTGATTAAACTCGTCGCCTAAACAATGGCCACAAATTTTGCAATTTGATGAATGATGTATTGAGTAAGTAAAGGACAAAATCTTATTATCATAAACATGAGCAACAGTAAAATTTAATGGCTAACCAAGTAAGTACGTTGCTCAACATGGTCGTACGAGTTAGGAAACTTTTTTTTAATATCCGTCAAACATGACAAACATTACAGTGAAATTTTGAAACGGTTGGATTAGTACTAATAATTTGTAGCAGCTCATGATGTATAGCCTTTTATTATATTTAGAAAATTCTTGTACTGTAAAGTTAGGGTCACGAATAAAGTTAAAAAATATTGTTCTAGTGGTATAGCTCAAGTTTGAAAATTAAATTCTAAATATTGAACTACTTAATTCTAGAAAATTGAGCCGTTATTAAGCCGAAATGGGTTTTTTTTTTCTATATCAAACTTTATTTATCACAGCTTCTTTTGACTTTCTTTTTTGAAAAAATTTAATTACGCTCTTCTTCTGATTCACAAAAATAGTTCAAACTGCATGTAATTCGGAAATTGTACTCAAAACAGTACAATTTGCAAATTGCAATATGAACTATTTATCTGGGATGGGAAGAATACACAATTAATATGAATATCATGATCAATGGCTGAATTTATATCACTATGAGTCGTATTTCA